CAACAGAAAAATTATTATTATTATTAATAATATTGTCCTTGGTATTTACGTATATAAATTCAGCAGAAAAACACACACAAATATGAAGACAAAAGCAAATACCGCAAACCACAAATAAGAAAAAATTCAAGAGAAAGAAAATTAAAATAAGAATGCAAAAATATTATTCTTAACAATTAAAAACAAAAGAAAATTAATAAATTGTTTTTAAAAAATACGTTTTTTTTTTGCTTTTTTTACTTGAACTTAGCAATGGCACATAGCAAAAATCTTAGGAATACACACAGCGAATTCTCACAGTGTATGATGCTTAACTCAACCAAGCACATGTTTTGATATTTAAACTAATCGTGCGCTTGAACCAGTTTCTCTGCCTGATTAGCATTACAGGCTTTTCAGCTGTGTCAGAGCAAAGTAATTTGTTTATCGCATTCCGTGTGTTTCGCTGCCGCCATAGCAGCCGCTATTTAGTAGTTTACCAAAAACGCCACCGGTGATAACAACACATTTTCGCGCGAAAGTACAAATAAGCTAAACATATTTCAGTTAGAATCTACAGAAAACCCGCGTCCCATAAAAAATGCCACAAAATCTTACGCGCGATTGCCTGAGCGTCCACGACCAGCAAGTGCTTGATTCCATTTTTAATCCACTGGCTATGACATCGAGCGTGGTGCAGGCAATAGAACCAGAGGCGAATGCTGAGCTGCTGGATATCGAAGAGAACAGCGCCGAAGTGCAGCAGTCGAAGGCGCTCGAAATAAGTGCTATCAAGTTGGCAGAGGAGGGCCAGCTTTCGAAGGCATTGCAGGCATTTGAGCAGGCGCTGAATGTGGCTCCAACACGTGCCTCTATTTATAATAATCGCGCGCAGGCGCTACGACTCGCCGGTCGAGATGAGGGTGAGTGTTTAGCGTTTAGCAGTTAAAGGTCAAGATGCGCACAGTCTTCGGAGAAGCCACGTGTTACGCGAAGAAGGCTTATTTAAAAACTGTGATAAATTACCCCGGAATAGAGCTATTCTAATTCACAAATGTTCAACAATTTCAAATCTCAAAATCAAAACAGCCCAGCTTTCAACTGTCAAAATTTTAAATTGACACATAATTCGTGATCAGCATGTCTAAAGACCCATTCGGTGGAATTTTTAAAAACCTTTTCTTATTATTGGAAAAATTTGCAGTCCATTTGACAGCTGTCAACTGTCAAAGTTTTTATTTGACACATAATTCGTGATCAGCATATCTAAAAACCAAATCAGTGGTGTTTTTAAAAATATTGTTTTATTTAACAAAAAAATTTACAGTTCATTTGACAGCTGTCAACTTTCACAGCTTTAATGTGACATGAAATTCCTGACAAGCTTGCCTAAAACCTAATCAGTGGTATTTTCAAAAATATTTTCTCATTTTTAGAAAAATTGGCAGTTGATTTGACAGTAGTCAACTGTCAAACTAAAAATTGTATGGCATATTTGGATTAAGCATACCAAAATTATTACGATACTGCATTTTTATCAGGGTACGAAAATAAACTGTACAAAACAATTCCCATTTGCTCATCGATCATCATATCATTTGTGGTTTTGTACAGTTTTGTAAATAGTCAGAAACAAATTGTAAGATTCACTGTCATTTTCCCCAACGAGAAACGTTTGCTTTTCGTTTGTGACAATTGTACCATAGGGTACGTTTTATATGTATGCAAACGTTTCAATTACGTGAAAAATAATTTTTTCTGTAAATTTTCATATCCAATTCAATTAAAAAACATTTTTATTTTTTTTATTCATTGCAGCCATTCGTTTTGTATTTGTTTATTGCATATATGTACATACATAAATATATTTTCCCTGCACGATTCATTTCGTTTGTTGTTTCGTCTGTAACTACTAAACTACTGTAGTGTACTATCGCCAAAGTGAACTCAGCCGTTTTGTTTCGTATTGTACCGAACTGTTAAAGTAATAAACGAAACGAAATAGTAACGTACAATATAGTTTATTTTCGTACACTGATTTTTATTATAATCGTTAACAGCCCTTCTAATTTTTCGGGTAAAACACAGCTTCTCCAACCACTGAGCGGTCGTTTTAACAGTTCGAGGTTTGAAGGGCACTGTATTTTATCCACTTTCCAACTGTTCTGTAGCTATGCTACAAACCAGAACGAAAACAATTTTTATACACGTTAAGGCGACATCTAGCGTTGACTCACGTAAACTTTCTGTGTAGAATAAGGCTATCTGCAGACTCGTCGTTCAATCATGGTTGCGTTGTCACATCGCCCTGAAATTTTTAGATGAGTACATGCATTTCGATGGAGGTATGCACACTTGTCGTTATCGGCTAGTTACCTCAAACTCGTAGAATATTACGACATTGTCGTCAGCTAATCGTTGTGCGCACGCATTGTTTGTTTTATAGGGAAAAATTAGTGAAAAAGTTCGTATTTGCATTAAAATGACGTAAAAATACCCCCTTATTCCGTAATATCTGTGAAAATTATTAATAAGGGAATAATTGCAATAAAATCAAATAAAAACGAGAGTTTTAATTATCAAAAATTACGAAATTGTACAAAGTAAAAACTCCGTTTAGCTTCGAAGTTCAAAATAGGACCTTCGGTAAAAAATTGTATTTAATTATTGCATCTAAATAACTAAAAACCTTAAAATATAGACGTAGTTCTCCTTTTGCTCTTATTTAAATTGTGTGTAACTTTTTTTTTTGTGCAAACTAATATTACAGGTGTTATAAGGGTTCAGGTCTTCGAAAATTTAATTACGTTATATTTCAAACAATTTGAACTGACTTTGAAAAAAAACAAATTGATATCGTTGTAAAGATGATTAAACTCCCTTTCTTTCAATATGCATATTCGTATACTTCGTATATAAAAATTTTAGAAAAAACACATTTAAATGAAAAATACTTTTTATATAAAAAAAAAAATATATTTTAAACGAAATTATTACCAACCGATTTGTAAAAAATTGGGATCATTGTAAAGACGATTAAATCCCCATTCTTATGATATGCATATTTGCATACACACATTTAAAGGAAAAAATATGTTTTTTTAAACAAAAAAATTACTAACCGATTTTTAAAAGGTTCTTATCGTTTTAAAGGCGATTAAATCCCCTTCC